CCCACGGGCTATTTTGGATGCAGTTAAGTGCTGGGCACATGTGGAGGCTTGGGGAGAGCGAAAAAACGGGCCTACTGGAAGTTCGAGAAGGCTGGAAACAGGCCGTTTCTGGCTCCAGAGGGCCTCCGTAGCCTGGGGAGGCCGTTTTCGCCCTCCTGGAGGCTCAAGGAAAGCCTCCGGGGCCTGGGGAGGGCAAAAAACGCCCCCACCAACATGCTGCCGACTAGGCCATACCCACCATGGCCACGCCTACTCAGCAACGGGCAGAGAAGCCCTTGCTAAAATTTTTGAAGCCCACCCCTGAACAGGATGTTAGATTCGATGGCTGGAATGGTCCATGATTGTATGAAACAGTCAGTCACTTTTTATCAAACGATGAATGTTGAGTATTGAGTGACCAGTTCAAACGGACCAATCAATAGACGAGACTGGGAGCGGGAAAGTTTAAGCAAGCGTCAGTGGCTGAAGCCACGGACAGCTCCGGGCTATAAAGGGGCTGCCGTGGCTGAGATTGCATTGCAGTTACGGAGCTTGAATAAAGAGTTCGTTCACGTTGTGTCCAGTCCTTCTGTTGCGCCCATACATAACAATGAATTTCTCCTATTTCATTTCTCAATGGGAAATAACAGTCGTAACAATTAATCAGTGGCATGACTTGCCTCCAGAAGTTGTGAATGCTCCAACACTGGAAGTTTTAAAGAAGAGATTGCATAACCATTTGTCTGAAATGGTGTAGCGTTTCCTGCCTGAGCAGGGGGTTGGACTAGAAGACCTCCAAGGTCCCTTCCAACTCTGTTATTCTGTTAATTTGCTAGGAGGAAACAGCAGCAATTCAGAATTGTAGACCAGCCAGCTTCCAAAATGCAAGCTATCCATTTAAAAATTAAAATGAGTAGGACTTACCTAAAAAGAAGGAGTGCATTTTCCCAGGAGTTGAAGCAGGAGTGAAATACAATGTCCTTGTAAGGCTTCTAAACAAAAATATCATTTTTTTTTCCTAAGAACATCAGTGGATACATTGAACAAAGCAGCGGTGAAGGATAAGGCACCATCAACTCAAAATGTTGCAAATTACAGGCCAACATTTTTTTTGTTTAAAATCAGAACAAAGTGTCTCACACTTGCAGATAAAGTCTTTGATGTCCTAGTATGAAATTTAGAAAAATACTTACAAAATTGAAGCATAGAGGACAACAAAACTCTGGGACTGGGGGCATAAGGTAGTGCATCAAACTAGCGGTGCATGACCCTAATTGCAAAATTCCTATTTATTTATTTTTTTAAGTTGAGTTCCTTGATAAGTGGAAAATTTCCTGTAGACTCTCTGCCTGCGAGAGAGAGAAAAACATCTGAAGGCAGGACAAGAAGCAATGAATGGAAATTAATCGAGGAGAGAAGCAATTTAGAACTAAGGAGAAATTTCCTGACAGTTAAAACAATTAACCAGTGGAACAACTTGCCTGCAGAAGTTGCGAATGCTCCAACACTGGAAGTTTTTAAGAAGAGATTGGACAGCCATTTGTCTGAAATGGTGTAGAGTCTCCTGTTTGAGCAGAGGGTTGGGCTAGAAGATCTCCAAGATCCTTTCCAAATTCTGTTATTCTGTTAATTCTGAAAAGAGGGAACTAAAAGAGAAAAAAATGGAGTCCACAATAGATGAGTATCCACCTCATTTCTCATCTGTCTCCATTCACTGCTTGCCTTAAGACCCTCTCCTCCTCCACATATTCCCCAGCGGATTATTTTTTGCAATTCACGTCCCTCCTAGAAAAAGAATTGCCCACCCCAACTTCAGTGGGAGAGCCCACTCAGCGTGACCTTTTTTTTGGGGACAATGACATTCTCTGCTTTTTCTCTGTGATAGTTCCTGCCTCTTCAATGATATTGTGACTTACTTTCTTTCTTTCTTTCTTTCTTTCTTTCTTTCTTTCTTTCTTTCTTTCTTTCTTTCTTTCTTTTTCTTTCTTTCTTTCTTTCTTTCTTTTCTTTTCTTCTTCCTTCCTTCCTTCCTTCCTTCCTTTTCCTTTTGTTGCTCTGTCCGAAATCCCAAAGGTGCTTTTTTCCAAAAGGCAACCTGTCTTTCTTTCTTTCTTTTTTTCTTCTTTAAACTATTTTGCTTCTCATCCAAGAAGCTTCTTCAGTTCTTCTGAACTGAACTGAAGAGGCTTCTTGGATGAGAACAGAAATGTTTTCTTTTTTAAAAATAATAATAGTAATTATTATTTTTTTCTTTAAAACAAGAACAGAAACAAACACAAACATAAATTTCCATTTTACAACAGTTTCATATTGGCCTTCTTTTAAAATTCACATTTGTCCCCTCCCCGTCTTTACATATATTTATATTTGTGGTTCCCTTGTTCCTTATTTATGTATATGTTTCTTTATCTGTTATACATATTATTGTATCTATATATTACTTTACATATATTGTCTATTTAGTGGCATATTAGTAATCCTTCTTACTTGCTGTTCCTGACCTCTAGCCATTTATACCATTTATTCCATATTAAATAATATTCCGTTTCATCTTTTTCTTTTATCTCTTTCGTCAGTTTGTCCATCGCTGCGCAATCCAAGACTTTCCTTATCACCAGAAATTCAAGGGAAAAAAAAAAAAACCCAGAAAATCCAGTTGCCTTTTGGGGAAAAAAGCATCTTTGGAGCCATTATGACCTGGACGATTGAGAAACTTTGTAGACTCTCTGTCTGAAATATCTCTCTTTTTTTTTAATTGTAAAGTGGTTTGGAAACTTTTTGAACCTTAAATATAAGCATCAAGCATAAATAAATATAAAGCACTGTTAAGAAAGTCGCAGGGGGAAAAAAATGTTGCTTCTAAACCTATCCTCTGGGTGTAGGATAAAGGAAAGATTTGAACCCAGAAAATACAATAGTATTTTCTGCCCAATTCTCAAGACCAGAAACTGGAAACCTTCAAAGCAATGATCTCTCTTTGCTCGTATTATTTTGCTCATACGGTATCATATGCCGTTGGGTGGCGTGGTGGCTCAGCAGTTAAGATCAGTGGTGGGTTTCAATTTTTTTTACCGCATATAATATTCGAATGTAGTCTCTATCAAGAAGTAAGAAAACAATATCTGTCCCCAATTATAAATAAATTTCCCCACTGGAATATAAGCCAAAAATTAGCATTTCTGTTGAGGGCTGACTCTCCTCCCCTGGTAAGAGCGATCACTCGATACCTTAAAAGAATGACGGCAATACGAGCCAGTTATATCAAAAAACATTTTATCGATTGTAAGGAAGATGAGCTCAGTTAGAGAGGAGCTATCCTATTTGGGTTATCTAGTCTTGGCAACTTAGCTATTGAAATTTGATATTGTAAAATTTTAATGTCATCTATCATATATTTTTAGATTGCTATTTTTGTAACTGTTTTATCTTTTTCCCTTTTTCTTTTCTGTTTTGTTTGAAAAGGCCTTCGGGCTATTCAATAAACTATATTATACTATACTCTATTCCCTATTCCCTATTCCCTATTCCCTATTCCCTATTCCCTATTCCATTCCATTCCATTCCATTCCATTCCATTCCATTCCATTCCATTCCATTCTATTATTCTATTCTATTCTATTCTATTCTTCCATTCCATTCTATTCCATTCCATTCCCTTTTCATTTCTATTCTATTCTATTCTATTCTATTCTATTCTATTCTATTCTATTCTATTCTATTCTATTCTATTCTATTCTCTGCTTCTCCCTCTCCCTCCAGTGTGCTGCAGCTGCCAAAAAAAGCCAACACAGTCCTAAACTGCATCAATGAAAGGGGTTGGACTAGAAGACCTCGAGGGCCCCTTCCACCTCTGATTCTGAAAATAGTGGGGAAAATGGGGAGGGAAAAGGAGAATGGAACAAAGTCTTAGAGTAAAGGAAGGGGAGAAAGAAAAGGACTGACTTCCGAGTCTTTTGGGCACAATATAAGAAGATAACAACACAATCTGCAACTTTGAATCTGATTACAATCAAAGGGAGACTTTTGAAGCTCCTCCTCCTCCTCCCCTCCCTTCATTGAAACCCCGCCCCCTTTTTCTTTCCTCGCTCCTCTCAGGACTTCCCATTCGGGATCGCACTTTCGCCGCGGCGTAGCTTTTTTTATTTATTTATTTTTATAAACCTTTAACGAATCCACCCTCTTCGTTCTCTACACAAAACCGCCCTTTTTTTTTTTTTTTCAAACGTCTGGTTCGGACTTTTTTTAAAAAATTGATTTATTTTCAAACCCGCCTCGAGCTCGTGACGAATCGGCCGAAGGAGGAGGTCCTTTCGAATCTGCGGCGCGAGAGGAAACACTTCCGGCCGTTCCTCGTCCTCGGACCGGAAGTCACTGCCCGCCATTTTCTGGCGGCTGATGGCGGCGTCAGGGAGGCCGCGGCGGCCGCTACTGCCCTGCGAGGGGTCGCGGTGAGGCGACGCCCGGGCGGCTTTTTTCCCTTCTCCGGTTCTCGAGCGGCGACTTCTTCGGGGCCATGTACTCCGGGCGGCCTAGCGGGGCGGAGGCCTCGGCGGCGCCTGCTGGGCGGACGCTGAGCTCTGTGGGAGCGCTCCCGTCAGCGTCAGTGGCGGCGGCGGCGGCGGCGGCCTCGCCCGGCGGCCCGAGCGGCGGCGAAGGCGGGAGCGGCGGCGGCGGCGGGGTGGTCGTCGGTGGCCGCGTGGAGCTGCTGGTCTTCGGCTACGCCTGCAAGCTGTTCCGCGACGACGAGAAGGCGCTGCAGCAGGAGCAAGGCCGCCACCTGATCCCCTGGATGGGCGAGGCCTCCATCATGATCGATAGGTCGGTGCACAGCAACCCCCCCGCCCGACTATCGCTGCTCTCGTTGTGCTTCTTCTTCTCCTCGCCCTCCTTGTGGGTCTCTGGGGAGGGGAGGGAAGAGTGGGGGTGGGGGGAGGGGTTGTCAGGGATCCTCTGCCAAGCAGGACAAGGGAGAGCTGGGCCCAGGCGAGGAAAGGCTTATTATTATTATTATTATTATTATTATTATTATTATTATTATTATTATTAGCATCCCCTGCCTTCTTCTACGAGCAGGGCTAGGCTTAAAGTTCCCCATCTCTGGCTGGTTTCCCTGGCTGCTTTCAAAAGGCTGGACTACAACTCCCATCTGTGTCCAGCGTTCCTGTCTGATTTCAGACAGCCTGGACTACAACTCACATCCCCGTCTGTGTTCCCTGTCTCTGATTTCAGACAGGCTGAACTACATCTCCCATCCCCGTCTGTCTTCCCTGTCTGATTTCAGATAGGCCGGACTACAACTCCCATCCCCACCTGTGTTCCTTCTCTGATTTCAGACAGACTGGACTACAACTCCCATCCCCATCTGTCTTCCCTGTCTCATTTCAGACAGTCTGGACTACATCTCCCATCCCTGTCTCTGATTTCAGACAGGCTGGACTACAATTCCCATCCCTATGTATCTTTGTCTGGTTTTGGATAGCCTGAACTGCAATTCCCATCCCTATCCAGCATCCCTGGCTGTTTTCACACAGGCTGGACTACATCTCCCATCCCTGTCGTTTGTGGTTTTGGGATATGCTGGACTACAATCCCCATCCAGCATATCTGGCTGTTTCTGGATACCCTATGCTAAACGAATACCTCCAGTTAGTTGTGCAGGGTTATAAATTTCATAATCTGTAGTTAACTTATTAAATGTGCTGAATTACGACTCCCATCATCCATTTCCGCCTCCCTGGTGATCTCTACATGCTGGACTACAACTCCCACTGGCCCATCTATCCAGGTTGGAGATGGCTGCCAAGGCCCCATAATTCCAATAAAATTGGAAATCCAATAAAATAAAAATATTGAATTTTGTTGCTTCCATTCAGCTGTTAGTTCATTGTAGAAGGAATTCCCAAGATTACCAGTAAAAAACTTTTGTGTATTAGGTTGTTGTAACCACATAAAATTGGACAGTGTGTTTGTTTTTGTGTAAACAATCTAATTATATAATTTGAGCTGTTGGAAAAGCTGTACTTCAAGTTACTGAGAGTTCTTGGTGAATAACAAATCTTGCCGTTACTTGGTTATAATACCAGGGCACAAACATAATGTAGTGTAACCTTAAAAAAACTTATTAGTGGAAGTGCTAAGTCACCTTTCAACTTTTTTCTAAAAAAAAAATATCTGCAAATATAGCTTCTGAGTAGCTTTCAGAAATCATGTATTGGGTTAATTACCTATGATTGTTTATGACAGAAGCCTGGATAAAGATGTCTCCCCAAAAAGACTGCTGTTTTTTTGGGGTGCACATATAGAAAGTTTGATTTGGTAAAAGCAGCTTTCAAAGGAACAACAATTATTTATAAAATGTGTGGTTTTAACACTGAGACTGCACAAATCCTTCACTTATTTGAATGGTTTTTAGACCATGAAAGCTACCTACCTTTAAGGTGATGCTGGCTTGGTTTTTGATGGAAGAGACCAGCATGGCTACTCCTCTGAAGTTGGGTGTGATACGGCTCCTATAATAGCTATTTAAAAAAAAAAAGATTAAGAGCTTCCCTTGCCTGTTGAGCTAGTCAAGGCGCACAGCACATCTTTAAAAAAACAAACAAACAAACTACAAAAATTTGTAAAGTTTCCTTTAGATTCCAGCAAAGCCAGCTTTGGGAATCTAGAAAGCTCCAAGGTTTATCTAATCTAGATAAATCTAAAAAGCTTTGTTTTTCGGGTTTTATCTGATCTAGATAAATCTAGAGGTCCCTTCCTCACCTCCCCATGTTCTCTTCCTCCTTGGCAGAGGATGTGTTGTGTTATTTACATTCCCTCCACGTTGAAGGAGTGGATCCTATATAAACGGGGGTTGGAGTACCCTCTTTTCAAACCAAAGTCTTTAATGACTCCTGTTACGAATGGAAGGAAGGCTTATTTGCATCTCTGAATGCTTATCCTACCGAAAACATACTCTCTAGGGCGATAAAGTTAATCTCACGATCTGTTATGCACTATGACTTTGCCCAGGCCATATTTTTTTCTGCCTGAGTTTCCAATAAATGATGTAAAGCTACAGTCCAAGGTTAATGTGATTCTTGCATTCTCATCCTTCCCTACTACAATTCATGGATGAATCTTGTTTTGCTGCGGTTTCCCCCTCCCCCCCCCCTTCGGAGCAGCATAGTAGCAATCTTTGTAAGGTTAAACTGAGGTTTAGTGACTTGACTGTTTTAAAATCCTCCAGGGAATTTCAAGTTTGACAAAGTAGAACCTTGGTTTCCGAATTCCAAATATTCTAATTCACTTAGGGCAATAATGCCGCTTTTAGCGTGATGGAAGTTGTTGCGTGTATTGGCTACACTTGTACGGCTTCTGGCAAAAAACCTTGGTTTTCATTGATTTGTAGATAGATGTTCCAGCTGTTTAGTTTAATAGTATTTGTAGCTTCATGGAAACTCGTTTTATTACCACAAAATGGTACAGAATTTAGATAATGGTTCCTGTAATGCTGTTACGCTTGGGGACTCCTGCTATTTAAAGCTAAAACTGACAGGTGGATTCTTTGTCTGGTTGTAATCTGATTGTTTTGGAAGATCAAAGCGTTTCTATTGGCATTTTAGTGAAAAAATGGATAGCCAAAGGGACTGAAAAGGCATTGTTGTTAGCACAATCCCCCTAGTGTAAAGCAAAGAGAGTCTGAAGGCTTTGGTTTGAAAAGAGTGTGTGGCATATTGTAAGAGCTTGCTCCTTCCATTTTTTTTTTTTTTTTTTGCTTTACACAATCTCTGTAAGTTTACAAGGTCCCAATTCCCAAATCAAGCCCTACCGGGAACAATACAAAACTCATTAATGATGATTTTTGGCGAAACCTTAAAATGAATTTTCTTTAAACATCCAGAACAAAAACGTACTGTTGGTAACACCATGGCATATGTCTCGTATAAGGTTACGTGGCAATATTTTGTGACTTCCCGGAATCAAACTAAAATGTAAATTAAACATGGATTTGATCATTCAGCTTCATGGTCATCAGTCAAAACAAAAGCACATACCAGCCAATGCTCTTTCACAGTTTCTGATAAGGCAAGTTAGCTGAAAACTGTAAAAATGGTAGGAGCAAGCTATGGATATGCCCATGATCTTTTATTATTTTACATTTGTAACTTAAGGAGGTTTGATAGATTTAGTCACTATGGAAAACTGGCTCTAAATAATTGATTGATAATCTTTCAGAGAGGTTGTTTTGTTTTGTTTTTACCTTGCTCTCTCTGGAATTGTTTGTTTTTGAGGAAGCAATAATGGCATTGAGACGATTACATCTTAGAAGAAAGTTGCCTTTTTATTCACAAGTCTGGTTTTTTTAAAAAAAATAAAATAAAGTCTCCTACATTATATTAGTTTTCATCTTTTAACCAAACTTCATATTCCACATTCTTCTTAGAATGGTGGAATGGACTCGGTTGCTCCCTTCTGCTCATATTTTCCCAGCCACAAAGAAAATAGTTTTAAGTCTCAGCCTAATCCTCTTTTAATTACCGGCCTGGCACAGATTATACAAAAAAATAATAATAATAAATTATTAGCCCAAAGAAAAACTTAAGTGGCTTACAAATACAGACAACTTTAAAAAAAAGTGACCAAATGAAATAAACGCCCAACGTAAAATGATGGATATCTAGTTCAGGGGATCGGCGAGCGTTTCCTGCAGAGAACCTCCTTAAATTGCACCAATGTTGCTGTTCCTATGTATGTGTGTCTCTCTATCACATAACCCAGGACTTCTTTCCTCAGCCACATAGCTAGGGGCCGAGCCTAGCCATGATTTTACCTCCAATGGATCCAGGTTTCTTTGATGAAGATTTCTCCTGAGAATGCAAGACTAGCAGAAAAGAAGCGAGGAATTGCCCACCGTTTGGTTCTTACGGATAGGTATTTATGTACTTGGGTTTGTGTAAATGTAAGTAATTTGCCTTTGCAGGAAAAAAAAAAACCACAAAAATTTCCCTCTGTTACATAGCCGTTATATATGTCGGCCAGGGTCATTAAATGGTTGAACCACAAACGGTAAGGACGCATAGCAGCTGGTTCCTCTTTGTAGCCGGTTAGATAGTCCGCTTTTAATTGTAATCAGTAACTCCCAAAGGGGCTTGGTTTTTGCGCTTGTTAAAGGAAGTGGGTCAGGAGTGTTGAGTCAGATTTAACGGGTCCCTCGTTTAATTCAGTAGATGGTTCTTTTCCGTTATAGGTGGTAAGTATTGATAGATTTGGCAGGAAACCCAGCCCGAAGTCCCTTGCTTGATCCTCCCCTTCCTGTTGCAGATATGATGGGCGTGGCCACTTGCACGACCTTTCTGAATACGACGCCGAATATTCCACCTGGAACAGAGATTACCAATTGTCCGAAGAGGAAGCTCGAATCGAAGCTCTCTGTGACGAAGAGAGGTATTTAGCCTTGCGTACGGACTTGCTTGAGGAAGAGGCAAGGCAAGGTATAAAAATCTAGGACAATTTCCTGAGAATAGCACGCGTTGAATTTGAAAACAAAAATTGCTTTTTTTCCCCCCTCCCCTTCTTTAAAAAAAATGTAACTTTTTAAGAAAAGAAAAAAAAAATCGTTGTTTCCCACTCGTTATATACTCACTCTTTCTGATATTATTTTGACAGTAACCCAGTGGATTCGAAAAAAACGAGCGTCTTTGCGTATCTGAGGACCTCAGGATATAGTTTATTTGTAGCGCCACCCAGAATGGCTGCCCACTCGTTTTGAGGGCAGGCTGAACGTTGCGCGCACTCTTTTAACTGTTCTTCTTTTAACAGTATCGTATCATCGAAAAGTTCACGTCTCTTTTTCTTCTTCTTCTTATTCTGTGTTTTGAGTAGAAATGACATTCACGCTTATCTCAGCAGGAGAAATTTTTTAAAATATAAACCCGAGATCATTCCCGCCCCCCCAAAAAAAAGAAGAAGAAAGAAAGCTGATATCTTCTGCCCCTTTTTTGTGTGTTTGGGCGGAAATATCAGTGTCCATACATGACCCACATGGTCAGTTTGCTGTAACATTTGTGTTTGAATGCTTGGGCGAATTACGTGTTGTTCATTTTTTTAAAAAAAGAAAGTTAGCTGTATTTAAACGTTATCCCCCTTTTTAAAAATTGCGTGTTGCTTTTTTCTTGAAGAGGAAGAATATAAGAGGCTGAGCGAAGCTCTGGCCGAGGATGGATCCTATAATGCAGTGGGATTTACCTACAGTAGTGATTATTACGATCCTTCAGAACCCACTGAGGAGGAAGAACAGCCCTTCAGGGCCAAAGGTAAGGGAAATTCTGTGGGAAAAAATTGCTTTCTATATATAGCTTGGGAAAAAAATCATATTGGCTGGGCTAAGATTTTGTAGTTCTGTTGATGAAAGGCACTGAATTCCTCAGTTCGGGGACACCTGTACATGAAACAAACGTCTCTTCCACTTTCATGCCCAAGGCGGGACTAGAACTCACCGTCTCCTGGTGATTGGCCCAAAGTCACCCAAGTCTGCTTCCATGCCTAAAGTGGAACTAGAACTTGTGATTTCCAGGTTTCTAACTTAGTGCCTTAACTACTAGACCGAACTGGCTTTCAAGTATAAAATGTAGTACCTTTTAGAGGCTGAAAGAGTTTCTGTATATTTAAGTAGCTTGCAACTGGCATGGAAGTGAGTAATGCAAGCAAGCGTATTAGCTTACTCGATCCTTTTAAAAACCCACAAAGAAAGTGAAACCTCCCTCATTCTGATCAGTTCTTTTTCAGATTCCCTGAAATAGTCTTAACTTGTTGCTTCAAATACTTGGGAACACTTTCTCACCTTTCTTGTTTGAGACATTCAGGTTGCCTTATAGCAGTGCTCCTTAACCTTTCCGGATTGGTGGCCTGGTGTGCGCGCGTGCGCGTGTGATTTTGTGCGAGGGGAAGGTGCACAGCTTGAATGGTATGAGCTGTGGGGCTGCGAGTGTCCAGTGCCTCAGGAGGGTTGTGAGACCCAACACCCACCATTTGCGGGAGTCAGGCTGCGGGCATCAGTGCATGCAACGAACGCGAGTGGTGCTGCGAGCACCAGTACTTGCCGCTTGCATGAGTCAGGCTGTGTGCCAGCCTGTCACTCACAGGGCCGTGGCCCACAGTTTGGGGATCCCCTGCTTTATAGGATGTAGACTGCATTGTGGCAAAGTCAAATTTTCAATTCATTTTTGCTACCTTGTAGCTGACTAGGGGACACAGTGGCTCAGTGGCTAAGACGCTGAGCTTGTCGATCAAAAAGGTCGGCAGTTCAGCGGTTCGAATCCCCAGTGCCGCGTAACGGGGTGAGCTCCCGTGACTTGTCCCAGCTTCTGCCAACCTGGCAGTTCGAAAGCACGTAAAGAAATGCAAGTAGAAAAATAGGGACCACCTTTGGTGGGAAGGGAACAGTATTCTGTGTGCCTTTGGCATTGAGCCATGCCGGCCACATGGCCACGGAGATATCTTCGGACAGCGCTGGCTCTTCGGCTTTGAAACTGAGATGAGCACCCCCCTTTAGAGATGGGAACGACTAGCACATGTGCGAGTGGAACCTTTACCTTTAGCTGAGGTTGCTCATTGCTTTTCTGTGCGATGTAATAGGCACAACGTGGCTGGTAAAAAAAGTAATATAAAGTGTACCACCAGTTGCTTATACAGTCATACTGCAAGGAACATCTGAGACTGTCATGTTTGATTACAAGTGTCATTGTTAATCCTTTTTTTGCTGGATTCTCGGTAAATTAAAGTTTAATGATGATCCATTTCCCCCCAGCAGTTTGAGTTATCCCAGCTTGAGAACAGGGAGAACGGGTAGAGTGGTAGCTAGCTATTACATAGTTAATGCGTGATGTTTGCCCATTGCTCTTTGAGAAACTCAACATGCTTTTAAGAACTTGTAATAGTGAGGCTTACCGTAGTGTCAAATCACACAAGATTTTTCGATGCCGCCAAAAGAGAACCAGATGTTCTTGGGGCAGATCATTAAAACAACTCCCCTGTAGTGAGCTTAGCTGTCTAGGAGCGTCTCTGAAAATATGTTTGTTTGTTTCTCTCTCCCAGTGACAGTGGAAGTAGAAAAATCAGCATTGCAGGAAATGGTTAACAATAGATAGGGGGAAAAAAATAAGACAGTTGTTAAATCGCTTTGTCTGCTGTACGGTTTGTAGTCCCCGCAGACTTTGGGGTAAGATAACGGCAGTCCTGCATAGAATCCTACTTCCCATGCAACTGACAAATTATGGTTACATTTGAGACCATTTGTTTGCCGCAGGCATTAGTAGGAGCTGTACATCACAATTGTGGAGAGCCATTAGGACTTGTTTTGTATGGGAGAAGTGAATGTGACCCACATATCCCCTGTGCACGAGTACACACCGCTTGTGTTGAATCTGAGGCTTCCCTTCCCTTCCCCATAATTGAATTACAATTCTGAGATTGCTCTCCCAGATTAAATTGGGAGTTGCGGGGGGGATGCCATTAACAGCTGGGGAAAATTGTAGAAAATAATTTACGGCTCCATTGATTCTGGGATAGATCAGAAGGTTGTATCTGCTTTGTCTGGTATTAAGCGAGAGCAGAATATCTCCCGTAGTTGTTAAGCAGATCCATCTTAATCTTCCCCCTACTCCTTTTGATGCTGTATCAGCCCCGCTCTGGAGAAACCGGGAGGAGATAGAAGTTGAGTTCTGATGTGGCTTTGCATATTTTCTTCTGATCCCAGTTCTTGCATGTGGCTGTTTAAACATCTCAAGACAGGAAGATAATTGAATTGAGTTCATCTAGTAGTGGACAACTATATCAAGAGGACACAGCATGTACACCACTCTGTGAATTAATGAGTTAATTTATAGAAGTTACTACAGGGAGTCCTCGACTTATGACCCTAGTTGAGCCCAGCATTTCTGTTGCTAAGGGAGACATTTGCTACATGGGTTTTGCCCCATTTTACAACCTCTCTGGCCACTGTTGTTCAGTGAATCACTGCCGTTGTTCAGATAGTCACACCCTTGTTAAGTGAATCTAGCTTCCCCATTAAGTTTGCTTGTTAGAAGGTCACGAAAACTGTTCACATGGCCCCGGGGCACTGCAACCGCCATAAATACGAATCATCTGAATTTGGATCACATGATCATGGGAATGCTGCAACAGTCATAAGGGTGAAAAAAGGCCATAAGTCACTTTTTTTAAAGTGCCGTTGTAATTTTAAACGGTCACTAAACGGACTATTATAAGTTGAGGACTACTTGTATATCCAGATGTTTGGATCACCACAATGTAAAAAAGGTGTTGGCAACTCTAGAAAGAGTGCAGAGAAGAGCAAGAAAGAGGATTAGGGGACTGGAGGCTAAAATATACAATGAATAGTTGCTGGAATTGGGCATGGCTTGTCTAGTGAAGAGAAGGACCAGGGGAGAGGATAGCAGTTTTCCAATACCTCAGGGGCTGCCAAAAAAAGGGGGATGCTCAACCTATTCTCCAAAGAACCTGAAGCAGTAGTGAGTTCCTCCCGGTTCAGCCCGGTTCTCCCGAGCCGGTAGCGGTGATGATATGACGTCACCGAACCGGTTCTGCCCCCCCGCGCCCCACCTCCGCGTTATTCTTACCTTTTATTTGGCCCCACCCCCAATCTATTGCTGCCTCCTGAGTCCCAGCTGATGGCTAGCAGGAAAAAAGCTGTTTAAACTCTTGCTGTGGGGCTTCAAAGGGCCGCCCTACAGCTGATCAGTAGTAAAAGAAAACAAATGAGTAGATTAGTGCCTGCAAAAATACATGAGTAGATCAGTGCCTGCAAAAAATAAATGGGTAGATTGGTAAACCAGTACCTCTGCTGAATCCTAAATAATTGTCACATGACCATCAAGCCACTCCCACAAAATAAGCCACGCCCACAGAACCGGTAGTAAAAAATGTTAGAACCCACCCTGACCTGAAGGTAGAGGACAAGAAGCAACGGATGGAAACTCAAAGAGAAAAGCAACCTAGAACTCAGGAGACATTTCCTAACAGAACAATTAACCAGTGGAACTGCTTGCCTCCAGAAGTTGTGAATCCTCCAACACTGGAAGTTTTTAAGAAGAAATTGGACAACCTTTTGTCTGGAATGGTATAGGTTTTCCTGCCTGAGCAGGGAGGTTGGACTAGAAGACCTTCCAACTCTCATTCTATTCTATAAAACAAGAATTAGGCCTATCCTAAGATTTCCCCCTCCAAATTCTGTACAGAATGGACCAATTTAGGCAGTGTGTTTGCAGCCAGTTTTCCAGGGTTTGGGATAACTTGTGGATGGGAAAGAAAATGCTGCCAACTTTAAAAATAATAATAATAAGCTGAACAATTTTGGCTATTTTAAGTGGCTGAGCTGTAGCTACTGATTTGTAAAAAAACAAGCTACCCAGATATCGGAGAAAAGACTAAATTAATGAATGAAATGTCGTTATCCCAGCGAGGTCCCTAGTTACTCCTGTGAATTAATCTAGCAAGGCAGTGCAGATTATCTCAAAAATCCAGGTGCTGGTAGCGTAAATACACGCACCAAGGATTTATCTTCTTGACAGTGAGAAAGGAAAAGTCTGCAGTCTGATCGTTGTAACCGAGATGGATTTCTCCCCACTTCCCATGACTCTTAACTTCTGAATGGCTGGTGTACACCCTTCAAAGACTCCTTCTTTTAATTGGTTCTGGTTGTTGAAGCGATGTTCGCTGGTACATCGCTCAGGTGGAACATCTGCAAACACCTGCAGCGTCAACTTTGCCGAGACGCATTAAGGCTCGATCCTGCCATGTGTCTTGGTCTCTTAAGCGATAGTTACGCCATCAGGTTAGCAAAAACATGTTTGTGTTCTTCAGCAGAGGCAGGCTTCTTAACTCAATAAAACAAGAGGTAATGAAAGAAAAATTGGCACTATAACGCAGCCTGGAAATATGCATATGGGGGGGTGGGGAATAGACTGCCAAGAAGGGAAACTTAAGCCGATGTTTTGTTTGCGTTCAGTTTATAAAAGAGAGGTGGGGTTTTTTTGCATGATAGCATATCCTCTTCTAATTTATAGCGGCTGTAACCAAGGCAGAAAGCGTAGAAGAAAACGAAGAGCCATTTATCGCCCCTTTGGGACTGACTGTACCTTCCGATGTAGAACTGGTGAGTATGTTTTGTTTTAATACAGATGAACACCGTGGAGTATCTATAACATCTTCCTTTCTGTAAATTTGAATAATGCAACAAGTAAATTCTGTCTGTTCGGAAATTCAATTCTGAAAGCAAGTGTTGTGGTCCGCCAGCAGCCTGCGGAGCTGGCAGCAGATTTGGACAGTGGGAAGGCTGGGGAGGAACATGGGCCAGTCCTGGAGTCAGGGGAAGGCCCGGTCGAGGGCTCTGCATCGGAGGCAGATGGGGCCAGTGCCATCTGGGAGTGATGCACGGACTCCAGAACCTCCAGAGGCTGACAGTAGAGAGGCAGAGGAACAGGAGGAGCCTGTTCGTAGTGCACGCATGCGAAGAGTTGCCAGAAGACAAGAGCAGCTGAAGCAAAAAGGACGACTTGAGAGTAAGGCCAGGAGATGTTTGGCCCCTCCCAGAAGGTTTAAAAGAGCAGTAAAGGCTCTTGAGCTCTTTGTTTGAAAAAAATGTTGCTACATTTGTTTTGTGTCTTGCTACATTTGTTTCTTGTTGGGGTCTCTTGCTTTTGAACTTTTGCCAAGAAAAGAATAAGAATAATTTTATTTCTATACCTTTGAAAAAGCCTTTGGCAGGGTGCCAAAGGAGACAAAGGTTGGTGATAAGGCCGAAGGACTGTTTATGAAGAATTTGTTTAGGTGTTCTGCCCCAGCTACGGACTCCAAAGAACACAGCACACACAAAGTCCGTACAAACCTTAGTTTACTAATTTAAATCAGTCTTTTCTGAACAAAGGCTGTTAATTGAACTTCATTAACAGCCGACAAGAATCCAAAGACTAATAAATCAATTCTGAGGCACAATATTTCAGATAACTGTAATCTTACTGTGGTTGGCAGAATCCCCAGAAGCAATTTGCAGGAAAACTGATAAGAGAGAAACAAGAGCCGAATCAAACGTTTTCTGGAATCAAGACGCGAAGGAATGTAAACGAAGTTGTTTCCTGCAAATTGCTTCAGTCGGCATTCCTCCTTAAATAGGCTAAGAGAGTGGCTAATTAGCCCCAAGCCTTACTCTCGAGGAGACCTCCTCCTGAGGAGCCACTCCTGCCTTTTGGCAGCTCTGCGCGCCTGTGCATCGACTCTTCTTCCTCTTCTCTTTTGGGAGCTTCTGGAGGTTCTGAAGGCCCTGGCTGAATCCCCGCCTCTGGCACCACATCTTCTCCAGCCTCCTCATTGTCTGACTCGAGCGCCAACTGCACAGACTGCTGGCGCAGCACCACATCAGCCTCCTCGCTGTCGGAATCAGCTACTAGCTGCACAGGCCGCTGACGGGCCATAACATTAGGACTGATTGTGTCTGGTAATAACTACTTGGGCCTAGGTCACAACAGCTTCCTGAATATCTGGCTATTGCATTAATTGACATTGTTGGCAGATTTAGATTGTATAGGTAGTCCTTGACTTACGACCGTTAATTGAGCCCAGCATTTCTGTGGCTAAACGAGATATTTGTCCCTTTTTACGACCTTTCTTGCCACACTTGTTAAGCGAATCAACGGCACTTGTTAAATTAAGTCCCACGGTTGTTGAGTGACTGTGGTTTCCCCATTGATTTTGCTTGTCAGAAGGCTGCAAAAGGGGATCCCACAACCTGGGACACTGCAACCGTCATAAATACGAGTCAGTTGCCAAGCGTCCGAATTTTGATCGCGTAACCATGGGGATGTTGCAATGGTCAGAAGTGTGGAAAATGGTCAGAAGTCCCTCTCTTTCAGTGCCGTTGTAACTTGGAAATGGTCACTACACGAACTGTTAGAAGTCAAGGTAATCCTAATGTAGTTTACCTGGGAGTAAACCAAGAGTAAATCTCTTCTGGGCAGAGAGTGAGCTTCTCCACGTTTAGCACTGTGTCAGATACTATTGATATTGTAAAAGGACAGTTGGCCAACTGCAAACAATTGCAATAATAATGTTCTGAAGAGGAGGAAAAAAAACCCCACCGTATTTTAGGAAATTTGTCTGTAAATCGGTAAGATTTACAGCCCTGGAATTATTTTCCCAGTCTGGCTGTTTCCTAGTTGAATCATTCTGTTGTAACTCTTTATTTTATGATCCAGATCATCTACTTTCTGGTTTTTTTTCCCCCTGATTTGGAGAGGTAGCACAACATTTTGCCTGCTCATTGCATTTTAGACGCTTGGTTCCCTAGCAGCTTTCCAATCCACCATCTGCGGAATAAATTAAAATGGAATAAGAGCTGCGTTTGCATAGACGTGAGCCCTTTTACGATTAAAACCCACATCAAATACAGGGAGCGGTCTTGCTCTCGTGACTTAGCGCTTTGCGATTCCAGGCCCTGTGCGAGCATGAATCAAAGTCCTTTGATGCGGGAGTAGCAACTTGATAGTTTGAAATTCTGAAAGAAGGTTAACTTTTACGAGGAGGGCACAGAACTCTTAGAGCTCAAAAATTCTTTCACATGTCCAGTGGGGAGACAAAAAAACCTTCTGTAGCCTTTCTCCGGTTTTCTTTTGTTTTGGGTTTTTTTTTCTTCTTGTTTTTGTTTTTTTCCCTGGTGTGTGGAATTCGTTTCCTTAGTATTGCTACACACCCATATTTATGACTAGAGACTTTATTTTAAAAAAAAAAAAACCCTCTCTATTAACAAATCATGGTTATCCACCCGAGATGACCTATATGTAAACTTCTATTAACATCAGAATTATTTGCTGTGATGGCGCAGTGGTTAAAAGGCAGTGTTGCAGGCTAACTCTGCCGACTGCCAGCAGTTCGATCCTGACCGGCTCAAGGTTGATTCAGCCTTCTATCCTTCTGAGGTTGGTAAAATGAGGACCCAGATTGTTGGGGGCAAGAGGCTGACTCTGTAAACCGCTTAGAGAGGGCGGTAAAGCACTGTGAAGCGGTATAGAAGTCTAAGGGCTATTGCTATTCCTTCCTTCTTTCCATCCACCCATCCATCGTACACAGTGGATAGAATGCAGTATTGCAGGCTAACTCTGCCGACTGCCAGCAGTTCGATCCTGACCGCCTCAAAGTTGACTCAGCCTTCTATCCTTCCGAGGTTGGTAAAATGAGGACTCAGATTGTGGGCGTAAGAGGCTGACTCTGTAAACTGCTTACAGTGAAACACTATGTAAGTCTAAGTGCTATTGCTAGTGTTACTGCCCTTCCTTCCCTCCTCCCTCCCTCCCTCTCTTCCTTCCTTCCCTCCATCCATCAATCCATGGTGTGCACTGGTTAGAATGCAGCATTGCAGGCTAACTCTGCCCACTGTCAGCAGTTCAATCCTGACCAGCTCGAAGTTGACTCAGCCTTCCCTCTTTCCGAGGTCGGTAAAATGGGGACCCAGATCGTTGGGGGTAATATGTTGACTCTGTAAACCGCTTAGAGAAGGCTGTAAAACAGTGTGAAGCGGTATATAAGTTTAACTGCCATTGCTGTTGCTATAGCTCCAGTGTTTTCCCCTTAAGTCTTGTCACAAAAGCAGGGATCTGTCTTAGATAGGCTTCGGGTATTTGAAAAGGGAGACATAATTTTTTATGGGTGGCTCCATGTTCTTTTTTTTTTTTTTTTTTTTATGATATTGTTCCCTGGCTGCCTTTGAAATTAACTGCATGATTGCATAAAGACTCTATAAAACTGTTACGAAATTTGTGTCCTACTGTGTAAATCACAAGATGGAGTGGGTTCATTTTGCCACCTAATTTTAGCACCTGCCTTTAAAACGCCTTGGGTGACGCAGCAGGCAAGTGTCAGGCTGGTTAGGACAGGTTTAATCTGCTTTCAGTTATGGAAGCACTTTAGATGACTTCGGGCAAATCAATTTCCCTTGAACAAGCCTATCTAACTTGGAGGTTGACAGAGGAAAAACTGGAGAAAGGAAAGCATGTTGCCCTGCTTGGATCTCTCTTTTTTAAAAAATGGGGTAGAAATTTAATAAATAGTACTTTTTAAAGAAGCTTTTCATGCAGTTAAGGCAGGGGTCAGCAACCTTAAACACTCAGAGATCCATTTGGACCCGTTTCCCACAGAAAAGAAAACACCGGGAGCCACAAAACCCTTCCCGTACCTGACTATTTCCTGAGCGGCCACAAAACTAGCATATGTAGTTGAATTAAATGTTCTGTTTTCTTCTGAAACTTTTCTTTTCTTGGATTTATCCATGGTTGGCCTGCCGGGGTCGAAAAGCTTAATAAATTGTGCGTCGATGGGTGTTGCACATTGGCAGTTTTGACGCATATTTTGAGCGACGGAGAGCCGCAGCAAAGGGGTGAAAGAGCCACATGCGGCTCCAGAGCCACGGGTTGCTGACCCCTGAGTTAAGGGAAACAAAAGCTGACAGTGGGGAATACAAAATAAACAGTTCCCAGGTTATTCCTCTAAAAGCCTTACGCATTATAATGTTTCTCAGATGATTTGTGTCAGAATTCCAAGTAACACCCCCAACGAAAGAAAACTCCGAGGCTTGAGTGTCCTCATTCATTAGAGATGTCATATTGGCACATCTGGGAAAACCCGAATCTGAAAGCTTCCAGGTTTTCCCCACCCAAAGGAAAGTCCAAGTCCTTTTCCTTGCACCCACATGTCCATCACATGGTCCAATCCAAGCAACGTCCCAACTGGAGATGCCTTCTAGTTCCCGCTGTCCAGGTGCAGGGCAAGATGTCCTTGACTCTCTGAGAAAGGAATGTTGTTATGACTATATATCACCCAAGCTCCATACAATCCCCCCTCCCAGTTTCCCACAGCAGTAAATGTAGCAGGCCTGAAGGTCCAATACAAAAGAGATGGCTTCCAGGTCTGACAATTTGACTAAGGGAACAAAATGGGGGGGGGGGGAGATCATTGATTAAAGAAAAAACACCATCCAATACAGATAGTCCTCTGCTTACAACCGTAATGGAGCCCAAAGTTTATGTTGCTAAGCAAGACGGTTGTTAAGTCAGTTTTGCCCCATGTTTACGATTTTTCTTGCCACAGATGCTAAGCGAATCTCTGCCGTTGTTAAGTTAGTAACACGGCTGTTAAATGAATCGGGCTCCCCCATTGATGTTGCTTGCCAGAAGGTCACAAAAGGAGATCACGTGACCCCAGGACACTTCGACCGTCATAAATATGAGTCTTGCCGAGTGCGTCTGAATTTTGATCACGTGACTGTGGGGCTGCTGCAACAGTCTTAAGTGTGAAAAAAACGTCCTACGTCACTTTTTTCAGTGCCGTTGTAACTTCAAACGGTCATTAAACGAACTGTTGTAAGTCAAGGACTTCCCTGTATTTTCTTTAAATAACGTTCTTGTTGGTAAATGCTTCGTATCAAAGATTCACACTCCCTTTTTGGTGTATTTATTGCCCCGACCTTTCCTTTTGGCAACAATGGAAAAATCTGTGGTTTCGAGAGCCCTAAAAACGGGCGAGGGACCCCAGTTGCCAGTTAATGCCTCAGGTTTTACGATCGCACCCATATTGAAAAAGAATAAAACTGTCATGCGGACTGTTCGCGGTCAAAAAATGAAAAAAGGCGAGAAAATTGGCCTTTTTTCTGAGCTTTTCACCGTTCTAATGGCCACGTTTTCCCCCCCCTCCCTCATCTTGCTTTGCAATCATGAGATCCAGGAGCTTTTTTTTTTCCAGAGTTTTATCTCTATAGCCTGCTGCTTATTGGATGACCACGGTTCACAAGTAATGCGTTATGGTTTCCCACTTTTATTGTTGCAATTCCAGGCAGATGGAAAGATGATTTGATGGCTTTTTCTGCTCATCCACAGCCGAGCCGTGCTTAAGTTTTGGCATCGCAAGTCGCAAAATCAGACCCTCGCCTTTGTTTTAAAAGCAATTTGTGGTGTAAAATCTCTGCATTGCCCTGTAGTAATTGCGGCGAGGGAATATAAAGATTCACTTTTGATTTTCTCTTTGGCGATGCAATGCTCGGGAAAGAGCAGGCGGTTTGGCTGCCAGGGTTAAGATAATTTGCCACAGCGTGAAAACAGAAAAAAAACAAAAAAACAAAAAAGAGGGAAAGGAAGCCCCGAACCAAAAGAAGAACTGTATCTGTTAAAAGATAAACCTAAATGAACAGATAGTCAGTAAAATATTGGAATGCGCAGAAATGTGCAGGTTAACACATGTGCTAAATGAGAATGAGGATTCGGAATTTTACACGGTATGGGAATTGTGGTACAGGAGCCTGAGTGGCGTAGGAGGCTAATGCCTCCTATTAAGGCAGCATTTAACATCCAGCTGCCTGCAATTACTGCGAGTTCAATTCTCACCAGGTAAACTGAGGACCCGGTTTGTGGGGGCAATAAGCTGACTTTGTATAAAATATACAAAAGTATGAAGGCTATTGCTTAACGCATTGTAAGCCGCCCCGAGTCTCCGGAGAAGGGCGGCATATAAATCAAATTTTAAAAAAATAAAATAAAATAAAAATAAAAACAATAAAGGTGGCTAGAAAATAAATGCAAAAGTTAACTATTAAGGGGGACAATGCTTAACTATTTATGTAATCTATATATTATAGTAATACTATAATTCATAATGTAATAATCTATAAGTATCCTATGTTTTAATTTTAAAATACCTATGTAATCTATTAGATACCACTTACATAAGCATATAGCATGATTGCACGTTGCCAAACCGAAAATGTTGAATTGTAATGTATTGTTTACTTAATAAAAATCAATTAAAAAAAAAAAGATTAACTTTTTTTTCCCCCCCCCCCCCCCCCCGTAGCCACCCACTGCCAAAATGCACGCCATCATCGAACGGACGGCGAACTTCGTCTGCAAACAGGGCGTCCAATTTGAGATTATGCTGAAAGCAAAACAGGCTCGCAACTCCCAGTTTGATTTCCTGCGGTTTGATCACTATCTCAATCCTTACTACAAATTTATTCAGAAAGCCATGAAGGAAGGGCGCTACGCTGCTTCTTCAGAGAAGAAAAAAGAGGAGGAAAAAAGTAAGCAATCTTCGTGGGTTCTTGTTTTTTTTAAAAAAAACACGGTATCAGGCGGGAGGCAGCCTGTAAGCTTGTGCGTTCCTGCCTAAATCACTCCAGCGTCTTTTGACAGCTGAGGAAGCTGTTTGCTAATATCTGCTGCAAATGTTTTAAATCGTTTTTTTCCCCCCTTCCAAAGGCTATAGAGAGGATTAGAAGTTTAAATGCTTCGAATGACAGCTTCCCCAGGCATAACCCAACTTTTGGCAGCGTTTAAACCGAGTTCTTTTTTAAATCCATTTAAAAAAAAAACTGAAGTTTTATGCTTGCGTTTTTTAGATGGTTTTACTCCTTTGACAGGGATGCGGTGGCTTAGTGGCTAAGACACTGAGCTTGTTGATCGGAAGGTTGGCAGTCTGGTGGTTCAAATCCCTAGTGCCGCTTAACGGGGTGAGCTCCCGTGACTTGTCCCAGCTTCTGCCAACCTAGCAGTTCGAAAGCATGTAAAAAATGCAAAAATAGGGACCACCTTTGATGGGAAGGGAACAGCGTTCCGTGCACCTTTGGCGTTGAGTCATGCACGCCACATGACCACGGAGAATTCAGAATAGAACAGAATAGAGAATAGAATAGAATGGAATGGGGAAGGGAGGGGAGGGGAGAGGAGAGAGAATGGAATAGAGTAGAATAGAATAGAATTTAGAATAGAATAGAGGAGGAGGAGGAGAGAATAGAAGGAGGAGAAGAGAAGAGAAGAGAGTAGAAGGAGGAGGAAGAAGAAGGAAGAATAGAATAGAGGAGGAGAGAAGAATAGAAGGAAAAGAATAGAAAGTGGAATGGAATAGAGTAGAATAGAATAGAATAGAATAGAATAGAATAGAATAGAATAGAATTTAAAATAGAGTAGCAGCATAGTATAGAAAAGAATAATAACTTTATTGTCATTTTGAATGTACATTAAAATGCAATTTCATTGCATACAGCTCAAAGAGTCAACACCTCTGATACACATGACATGAACATGACTCAATAAATAAATAGAAGTGAACTTAATGAACATGACAAAATAAATAAATGGAAGTGAACTAATATAAGATGGGGATTACCCGTATTGCTATGGAAAACGGACGCTGCGCAGGGCGAGCTTGCCCAACCAGCATCGGTGCCTTCAAGGCAGCATCATTTGCAGCATTCCGAACGTCGTGTTGTCAATCACCACGGCAGCCTTTGAACCAAAGCTTGCCAATGCGGCGGCCTCTGCGGTGCCCCGGAATGGCACCCAGATGGTTTTGTCTTGGCTTCAGGCTTTGGAACGCCTTCCTTTCAGGGCCCTTCCCAACAATGTGGCGCTCTGGAATACTGCCGTTTAAAAAAAAAAAGTCTCATCCTTTCTGTTCTTCACTCGGCAGATGCAATGGAAGATGGCGATGAAGATGATGATGACGACGACGATGACAATGAAGGCAATTATCTGCATCCCAGCCTTTTCGCTTCTAAGAAACGGAGCAGGCTAGAAGAGCTGATGAAGGTGATGCAGCCGGTTCCTTTTCTTTTAAAGAAACTTCCCAGCTGGTTTTAAATGTGCTGTCAAAGTTTGTGAGTTTCTGTATACAGTAACTCCTCCATGCCTCCCTCCCCCCTACCCCTTTGCTTGTCCTGTAAGGACCAGCCTCCCCCCCACTCCACCCTTCAAGAAAGTAGAGACCAGGGTTGAAATCCAGCAGGTTCTGACAGGTTCTGGAGAACCAGTAGCGGAAATTTTGAGCAGTTCAGAGAACTGGCAAATACCACCCCTGGCTGGAGTGGTGGGGGGGTGGAGATTTTGCAATACCCTTCCCCAGGAGTGGGAAGGGAATGGGGATTTTGCAGTATCCTTTCCCTGCAAAGCCCACCGAGCCACGCCCACAAAACCGGTAGTAAAAAAATTTGGATTTCACCACTTGTATAGACCAGGGGTCAGCAACCTGTGGTTCTAGAGCCGCATGTGGCTCTTTGGGCCCTCTGCTGTGGCTTCCTGTCAGGTGATCCCACCACTGGCTGGCCCCGCCCCTTGCTCTGCCCTCCCAGTCACTCCTCGCCTGGCCTGAGAAGGTAAGGGCGACGGTGGGGCATGGAGAAGCGGCCAGGGCAGAGACAGAGAGGGGGGGGCAGAGAGATGTCAAAAGGATTTTGTGGTTTTCGGTGTTTTTTAACAACTGGTTCTCTGCCCTAATGACCAGCTGGGTAGGCGTGGCTAGGGGGGGGTTATGTGACTGGTGGAAGTGAGTGACATCGAGTTGGCCACGCCCACCCAGGTTTTGTGGCTCCCGGTGTTTTCTTTTCTGTGGGAAACGGGTCCAAATGGTTCTTTGAGTGTTTAACGTTGCAAAGTCCTGGTATAAACTCTTGAAACTTTGTACTTCAAAAGGAACCTTTTATTGAAAAGAGGCGAAAGCAAGTCAGAATTCAAAGCAGGCTCCGAGGTCCCTCAGGGCATGCAGTCCAGGATAAACGAAATTAAGAACCAGAGGACCCAGTTGTGGGGGCAATAAGCTGACTTTGTATAAAATATACAAAAGTACGAAGGCTACTGCTTAATGCATTGTAAGCCGCCCTGAGTCTCCGGAGAAGGGCGGCATATAAATCAAATTAAAAAAAAAAAAAAAGAACCCCTCCCAGCCATCCGATTGTGGATTCCACCAATCCGCAGGTGTGAAGATTTTTTCCGTGCCGGCCTCTCTGAGAAATGGATAAACGGTTTCTCAGGGCCTTCTTACGGCATTGCAATCCACATGGCCCTCCCCTTGTATTCCCCAAGAGGTGAGAAATTTCCAGGCATCTGAAGCGCCAGGCAACGGTTATAAATCAGGTGAAAGGTTATACAAGGCACGAAATAGGATATCCCGGATACCTAGAAAGGAAAGAGAAACTAAATGTATCAAATCCAAACCCACCCACCCCCCTTCTTCCACCGAAGAATGGCAGATGCACGGATCTGACAAGACCCCTATTCCAGGTTACTAATGGTAGATAATGCCCTTCTAGGTTTGCACGCCATATGAAGTGGAGTTATTTTCCTCTTGTTCACTAGCAAAAAACCTTTGAGATTTTCCTTCCTTCACCTCTATTTAGGTGGTAGCTGTTTTCTACGATGACGTTTCAGAAGCCACTTCTCTGATCTCAACCCAGTTTCTTTCAGGGAGGGGACACAATTCAATGTTTTTCCCCACCTCTTTTGGATGGGCAATAAAAGCTCGATAAAAGTTAGCAATTACAAAGAACATTCTCTTCGATTGGTAAAAATGATAAAACATTGTCCCTTCTAGTAATACTAGCAATAGCACTTAAGAGTTATATACCGCTTTACAGTGTTTTTACAGCCCTCTCTAAGAGGTTTACAGAGTCAGCCTATTGCCGCCAACAATCTGGGTCCTCATTTTATTTACCCATCTTGGAAGGCTGAGTCAACCTTGAGCTGGTGAGATTTGAACTGCCGAACTGCAGCTAGCAGTCAGATGAAGTAGCCTGCAGTACTGCACTCTAATCACTAGGATAGAGAGCCAGTTTTGTGCAGTGGTTAAGATGCTGGCCCAGAAACCAGGAGACTGTGAGTTCTAGTCCCACCAGCTAGATGACTTTGGGCCAATCACCAGGAGATGGTGAGTTCTAGTCCCACTTTAGGCAAAAAAGCCAACTGGGTGGCTTTGGACCCATCACCAGGAGATGGTGAGTTCTAGTTCTAATTTAGGCATGAAAGCCGTCTGGATGTCTTTGAATCTGTCTCACCCTCTCAGCCTAACCCACCTCACAGGGTGGTGGTTGCAGAGAAAACAGAAACGAAGGATATTAGATATGTTCGCCACCTGGAATTATTTACAAAAGTAAGGTGGGATATAAATCAGATTGTCAAAGTCCCGACTAACGAAGCAAATCAGAACTACGAGGCCACTTGCTTCCTCAAAGAACTTCTTTATTGGATACATCATGTCGGCACACTTAGTGTAAAACCAACTCTGAATCATTCCCACGGGTTCAGTATAATTAAAACAGGCAATAACCCCTTCCCCAAGTGTCACTGGTCACGTTGGCCAATTAGGTTAGTTGGCAGGCCCCTCAGGCACTCTCCTCCTCCTCCCTCCATCACCTGGGAGATGACCTTGGTTCCCACGAGAAAGATGTATATTGTGTCTAGTAAGGCATTCCAACCTCCTTTCCACCTCCACCTCCTGCAACTGTGTGGCAACGATGAATCAGGAAAACGGCCTCTCTCTGGGCACGTTGATAATATAATCTGCTGAACAAAACTCCGTATTGGCGACAGGAAGGGCATCTGGCCAGTAAACAATCAGCTCCATTCAGTTGCCCAGACTCCACCCCGCAAAGGATTATGGGTCATTAAGTGATGATGATGATTTCCAGCAAGCCATTTGAATCGTTTTGACATTGGGCAGTCAGGGTGAGGGAGTTCAGCCACCATGATGTCCCTTGTCTTTGCCCCCTGTAGCCGCTGAAAGTGGTAGATCCCGATCACCCGTTGGCAGCCCTTGTTCGCAAGGCTCAAGCCGAAAACGCCACTGCGTCTCAGGCGGCTGAAGGAACAACCGCTCCGTCGTCCCAAATGGAATATTCTTCCGATCGTAAGTACATCCTGTTGATAAACGAGAATGAAGCCTTTCAGAAAGTCGCTGTGCACAATGGGCTGGAAGAGACAACAGTGACGGCTACAGGTAGTAAGTCCTCGACTTATGGCCACGGTTGAACCCAACACTTCTGTTGTTAAGTGAGACATTTGTTCAACGGGTTTTAAACCCCATTTGACAACTTTTCTTGGCACCGTTGTTAAGTGAATCCTGCTAGTAACACGGTTGTAAAGCGAATGCCGATTTCCCATTGACTTCTCTCGTCAGAAGGTCACAAAGGGGATCGATCACAGGACCCAGCAAAGGTCATAAATATGAAACCAGTTGCCAAACGTCTGAATTTTGATCCCACGGCCGTGGGGATGCTGCAAAGGTCATAACTTTGAAAAACGCTCACAAGTCACAGTTCTCAGTGCCGTTGTAACTTTGAATGTTGTCACTAAACCACCAGTTGTAAGTCGAGGACTTTTACCTGTATTGGATAGCCTGGTAGGAGAGGTGCTGCTTGTCAACCTGGTTGCATGCTTGCGCCATTACCGCAGTGGTGAAATCTAAAAATTGTTACTACTGGTTCTGTGGGCGTGGCTTGGTGGGGGGTAATGTGACTGGGTGGGTGTGGCCAATTTTTTTTTTTACTTTTAAAACCATTTTTTCTACAAAACCTCTTCGGCGAAGAGGTGGTAACAAAATGCTTTCAAAAGGCTCTGACGATCCCAGTTGAGTTGCCTGACCGGCAGAGGCTTTTTTGTCTTTTAAATGCCTCTGACGATTCAAGCTGAGTTGTCTGATCAGCAGAGGCTTTTTTTCTTTTAAAAGCCTTTGACGATCCCAGCTGAGGCGCGTGATCATCAGAGGCTTTTTTTTTTACTTTTAAAAGCATTTTTTCGGCCGAAGAGGTTGTAGAAAAAATGTTTTTAAAAGTAAAAAAAAAAGCCTCTGATGATTGTGTGGCTCAGCTGGGCATGGCGGGGGGGGGGGGGGGGGGGGGGGTTTTTTTCTAGTTCTCCCAACCACCCGCTCCATCGCTACCGGATCGGGTGATCCGGTCCTCACCAGGAGCATTTCACCCCTGCGTTACCGCCTTTTCAGTCACATGTTGGGACCAGCGGTGGGTTTCACATTTTGTTACCACCGGTTTGTCACTCCTTCCGCACATGCGCACACACCAGTTTCAGGAAAGGGAAGTTACGGTTCTATTATTTGCTATCCGCAACTCAAGAGTTATCTCTCTAGAAAGAGCAATGGTGTCTCTGCTAATAAGGTCCAATCTCAGTACTAATAGAAAACAATCTCATTATTTTGGAGATACCGATAAGTAATTTGAGCCTACGTGGGTATAAAATGAATTGGGTATTTGGAACTTCCAATTAAATAAGCTGGAATCTCGGAGCAGTTATTAGATCTAAGGTTAAAGACGTGACAGGGGAATCTTATTTCATAGATGAATGAATGCCTTTTTGGAACGGAAAGATGTTGGGGGGGGGTTTGCAGGAAGGAGGGGCTCCTTTCCGGAGGGCAAAGTGACAGTGGGAGCTTGGAATGTCTGGTAGGCAGGAAAGGGGCAAAGTGGGACCCTCCCTAGCAATTCACATAGCAGATCTTGAGTTACGCTGACGATTGCTTTACTCCCATGCAGGGTCGATTTGATTTAAATCAAGTTGATTTAAATCACAATTTAAATCACTAGTAAAAAGGCTTGATTTAAATCAACTCGATTTAAATCATAATTGTTAAAGAGCAGCTGTCATCTCTGCTACTCCTTTGACCCGCTGTTGACTCACCGATAGTCCCAGTGTTGCAGAATATACAGCCTCCTGCTACGTAACTAAGCTCCTTTTCATGCTGAATAAACTAAATTATTTATGTACCTTACATAGAAAACTATCTCACGATAGATTTTTGCCCCAAAAGTTTTTTATTAAAATAAATTCGATTTAAATTAAAAAAATCCGATTTAAATAAAAAAAAATCCGATTTAAATTTTAAAAAAATCATTGATTTTTATCCACCCTGCTCCCATGATGGCAAACCTATGGCACGCGTGCCAGAGGTGGCACACACAGCCCTCTCTGTGGGCACGGGCACCGTTGCCAGCTGCTCTTGTGGTTTCCGGCGTGCACATGCTGTTCTTCGTAAACACGGGGCGCCGGAAATCCAAATGCCAGGTGGTCGGCATGTGCACCAGCCAGATAATCTTTGGGTTTCCGGTGCTCCAGCGCGCGGGCACATTCCGGTTTGGGCACTTAGTGCCCAAGAGGTTCGCTATCATTGCTTTAGTCTGGCAAGATTCTGTCCTTAGGTAAAGGACATAAAGGCAACTACTCACAAGCATCTCCACATGTCGTTCCTGGTTCTTAGGGGGCCTGGCAGTTTTTCATGTGTAAAATTAAATTAAATTAATTTTAATTAATTTAAAATTAGTAACAGGGCCACTTTCCACAAGGCCCTGAAGACTTATTTATTCCAACAAGCCGGCCTAGCTTAAATGGTTTTAATGGGGATTTTTTAATCTTTTAATTTTATTGGTTTTTTGGGGTTTTAAATTGGGAATTTTCTGATTTTGTAGATTTGGGATTTTAAATCGGTAATGCCGCTGATTTAATCTATTTTAGTTTTTTCTTAACTTCTGTACTGTATGTGTTTTAATTTCTGGCTGTCCACCGCTCTGATTCCCCCTGGGGAGAAGGGTGGTATATAAGTTTAATTAATTAAATTAAATTAAATTAAAAAGATCCTTGCCAACTCTGACATTAGTAGCCGTTCAAAGTTACAACACCGTTGGAAAAAAAGTGACTTAGGACCATTTTTCACACTTAACGACTGCTGCGGCATCATCCTTAGGGTCAGGTGATCAAAATTCAGACGCTTGGCAACTGGCTCTTAATTTATGATGGTTGTAACACGGTTGTCCCCTTTTGTGTCTGGCGAGGAAAGTCAACGGGGAAGCCAGATTCACGTAGCAACCGGGTTTACTAGTTTCACAACTGCAGCGGTTCACTTAACAGCTGTGGCAAGAAAGATCGCAAAATGGGGCAAAACTCACTTAACAAATGTCTCCCTTGGCAAACCGAAATTCTGGGCTCGATTGAAGTAAGTCGAGGACTACCTGTTAACTTTCCCTGAATTCAGAATTTGGGTCGAGGGGGTTTCATCAGAGCAACTGCATTTTTAACAGATAACAGATTAACAGAGTTGGAAGGGACCTTGTAGGTCATCTAGTCCAATCCCCTCGCCCAAGCAGGAGACCCTAGACCATTTCTGACCGATGGCAGCCCAGTTTCTTCTTGAAGGCTTCCAGGGATGAAGCTCCCACAACTTCTGAAGGCAGCTTTCTGTTCCATTGGTTGATTGTTCTCACTGTCAGAAAATTTCTCCTTATTTCTAGGTTGAATCTCTCCTTGATCAGTTTCCATCCATTATTCCTTGTCTGGCCTTCGGGTGCTTTGGAAAATATTTTGATCCCCCTCCTCTCCTCTCTGTGGCAGCCCCTCAAATATTGGAAGACTGCTCTCCTGTCTCCCCTGGTCCTTCTCTTCACTAGACTAGCCATGCCCAGTTCCTGCAACCGTTCCTCATATGTTTTAGCCTCATCATCCTGGTTGCTCTCCTCTGCACTCTTTCTAGAGACTCAACATCTTTTTTATAGTGTGGTGACCAAAACTGGATGCAGATTCTAGGTGTGGTCTTACTAAGGCTTTATAGAGTGGTATTAGTACCTCCCTTGATCTTGATTGTATCTCTCTGTTAATGCATGGCATCAGACCTCGCTTAAATCTGTATGTTGTAAAACAGGGGTCTCCAACCTTTTTCGCTTTGCAGATCAGCGGGGGTGGGGGACAGCGGAGACAGGATGGTTTCCCCCCAACCCACCCCCCATACAGCAGATGCACTTGCACAAATGGAGCTTCACGGGCCAACGCATACACCCAGTGCTTGCACAAGTGGAGTTTCGTGTGCTCATCCGCCATTTGCATGGCCCAATACTCAACGGGCCATGGTCCAGTACCAGGTCAAGGCCCTGGGGGTTGGGGACCCCTGCCTTAAAAGATGATCCCAAAGGTGCTTTTTCAGGAGGCAACTGGACTTTCTTGTTTTTTCTTTGAAGACTTTTCGCTTCACATCCTAGAAGCTTCTTCAGCTCTGACTGGCTGGTGGGGAATGGAAGGATTATACTCCTTGCAGACAGCTGGTCATTTGCATCCTTTTAGAGGGTCCTTGAAGCACTTGGAGGTTTATCTGTGTCCTCAGGGTCACCTGAGTGGCGCTCCCGGTTCTTGTAGTCTCTAATTTTTTCCCCCTCTGGAAATCTATTCCTAATCCCACACCATTCAAAGGGTGTTCATTCCAAATTGTATAGCTAAAAGTGTCAGACTGCGATGCTATCTCAAAATTAAATGAATTTCCAAACTGCCAATCTTTAAGGAAATCTTTCTTTAATTGAGCACAGCCACTGAATTATGACTTCACACAGACAAGGCTGACCTTTTGCACCCCAATCCCTCCCTTTCCGATCCCTAAATCTCTGCTTCTCATTGGCTATCTTCCAAGTCATTCTTCAGACTTCTTTTCTCGTCATTTCCCAGGAATGTGCCCCCTCCCCTCATTTCCACGACAACCCGACTTCAAAGGGATTTAGCAGGCAAAAGTTTCAGAGTTTATCTCTCGCTCTCCTCTGCTCTCTATGCCAGCGTTGAAACGCTGACAAAAAGTTTGTAAGTCCTTCCATTCCCCACTCTCCTGTCAGAGCTGAAGACGCTTCTTGGATGAGAAGCAAAACGTCTTGAAAAGAAAAAGACGAGAAAGTCCAGTTGCCTCCTGAAAAAGCACCTTTGGGACAACCATGGTCTGGATGACTGAGAATCTCTACAGACTTAACAGGTGATGTTTTCTTGATTAGGGTCCCCACTCCCACAATCAAAGAGCATATCTTCGTGGCTTGAGAAGAAGCTGTTTAATACAGCCTCCCTGCAACCTGTCCGGATTTCCCCCCCCCCCCC